GTTGCAATCACTGATAGCTTCATGTCTGAAGAGAAACAACATCAAGCAGGTGTGACAGCGTTTATGGATTTGTGTGCTGCTTTCATTTAAGTGTCTGCTAAAGTTCCCTGAGATTTTAGCTCTTTGTGCCAGCCACTTTTCATGTTAAATACTCACATGTTTTTCTATTTCCATTACTTAATTGAGACTGCACTGAGCTGCCATTATTATTTTAATGAAATAGTTTGACATTTGTCAAATATACTTATGTTTATTTGTCGAGTCTTCAGAGCTCTCATTCATGCTAAATATGGCGATGTAGTTAAGCGACTACTAGCTTAGCACAAAGACTACTATGACAGTTTGAGGGCTACAACAACTGTTTACTCGAGGTTTCAGTTTTGTTAGCTGGGCTAACATTATGTAAATTCAACCTTAAATTTTCATCTCTTTTGTAGCCGCTTCACCAGTCTACAACCATGCAATTTTGGTTCCCCCTTACCGGTTTTGTAGTGACTAAGCAAGGCAGCCATTTATGCAGCAGAAGCAGATCGATGTTAGCCCGTTAGCTAGCAGCAAACCTAGCTTAATCCTGCAATAAAGTGGTCACTTGTCAAGAGCTTCATTACTTCTTTACATTTTGTCATTATTGCCTATCCTGCCTTTAATGAGACTTACAAATATTCTATAATAGACTGTCTTTTTTACCTATGAAATTATAAATGTGACTGGCACCTTACAAGAGTGATAACTGGTTACCATATCAAAACTAAGTTGTAGTCAGACATGTTTATTGTTGTCCTCAACAATAAACAATAAAGTTAATATTTGGTTATTTGTAATTTGTAACTTACAAATTGTATTTTCTTTTTAAATTGTCAAACCACTGGTTATCACTTAGTACTCCGTTTAGCCTATGCAGTTTTTTTTTTTCTTTTTTTTAGAGCAACCAAAGTTGCAAGTAGCGTAGCATTCATTTGAATGTGGTTCCAAGTTTTGGGGAACATTTATTATTTATTTTAAATTCCAATAATTTTCAGTATTACTATCATTTTACCACATTTAAAATTATAACCCACTTTTTGTTTTTTAACTTAGTGGAGGTAAGAGCTGGAGGTAAACCAGCTACAGTAGCTACTACTAACAAAAAACAAACAAACCCAAAACAGAACACATTTTTAAAGTCAAAATTACTTGTATTCAATAATCATTAGTCAGTCAATACCAATTAATAGCAATACAAGACAATCTGTTTTTGTTTGTTTTAATTGAAACATCTTCAGTCCTTCCTCCCACCTCATGCTTTTATACACACACACACACACACACACACACACACACTTCCATTATTAGATTGATTATATTTGCCAAGTGGTGCATAACCCAAACACACAGAGGAAACGCTTGAAATGCTTATACATTTTTCCCCCCAACTGCCGTCCAATCTCCTCAAAAGACAGCATTTGTTTTTAGTCTGCAGTAAGTTACTGTGCCACAGTGGCCGACTTGTTTCTTGGTCTTACATGGCTGAACATAAACTTCTGTTTTCAATCAGCTTTAGGTAATCACTGAATTCAGCTCTGTTGTATTATCTTTTCATTTCATCTTCAGACTCGTACAAACAATTCAATCCAGTCATCCATTACTTAGCTCCAAGTAGAAATAAAAAGTAGATCAGCTTTCCAATAACGCCTCATATTTATGTGACTGACTGAACAGTGAAATATAGTATCTTGTCTTCTGTCTCAGCCTTTACAACCAAAAGTATAGTTTAACGTGATTTTTTTCACCCCTATTTCCCCTCTGATCTGCAGTAAATAAGAGTTACCAGTTGTTAGAGCAGTTAAAATAATTTATTGCACTTAGAACAAGAAAGAGACATTGAGCCAAACACAGTTAAAACAAAAACAATGAGAGCGCTGATGTTGTTAAAGAGTTTTAATCAAGCAAATATCCAAAAAAGCTTAAACAGGGTCAGGTTAGGAACAGATCACCGGTCACAGCAGATACAGTTATTACAAAGGCATTACACAGCAGTGGATTATTGCTGGGCCACTGTTGTTTTAAATAAAATCTCAGATTGGATCATGGATCACATGAGAACCTGAGGTGAGCAAAGCAATGAGACAGGGGGTCGCAGAGCCCCTCTCCCCCATCCCAAGACACTGGCATTATAAGAGTCCTCAAAACATTGGGCTCCAGCTGTGAGCTGTCCTGTAAAAAGCCTGACACTACTGCACCAGAATATGACTCACTGTGCATGCCATTCAACAAATTAGGAGGCAAATTAAGACTTCATAATTATTCTCAGTTCTTTATGAGTCTTCATTTCTGCTTGAATAGCTAATGCTTATGCAAACGTAATTTTCTCTCCAATTAGCACATCATTATCCCTGTTTGAAATAATCAAATCCCATTACTAATCAGATGCAGATTAACTGCAGCTGTATTGTGTCCTAAGACCTGAGTTTGTTTTTTATGGCGTCTTTTAACAACTTTAGACTACTTGGGGACGGTCTTTATATCTTCTTAAAGCCCCGACTCAGGTTTAGATTGAAAAATATGTAAATAAATCAGACAGAAAGAACATTAATAAGCATGAGGGATCAGTGTGCAATAGACTCCACATCTGCCGGTATGAAAACAATTCAACTCTACTGAAATAAGCATGCATATTCACAATCCAACGAGAAACACTGAGACAATCTGTCTTACTAATACTGTAGCCCGCAAGTCAAAGTATGCATCAGGAACGTCTGTGGAGAATCTGTGCACACAGACTAGATACTGAGATTCAAAAATATCTGTCTTTAAGAGGAAATCTTTCTGGAAAAATAAATGTTTGCAGCCAAAAATTAGTGCAGGTTTTTTTTTTTTTTCCTGTGTTGTTTGTTTTGCTAGAGGCAACAGAGGTGAGACCAACCTATCATTTACTTGAGATGTGAGCACTCGTTCATTTGAAGGCAAATCCTCGGTGAACACATAAATATATATTTATAGTTTGTCTTTTGTAGACTCGCCATCAATACGAGAAATAAGATACAATTTCATGGCCACGGCAAGAATGAGAAAAATCAAACAAACACGGCAGCGAATTAAGAGCTGACATTACACGAACGCTTCATAATTTGTTCTGTCGACATGTTCCCTGATTTTTTTTTTTCAAAGTAAAACAATGTCTGATCAGCTGAACAGGCTAGGAAAAAAAAAAGAACTGTGATATATATATAGATATAACCCCATTTTATCCTGAATCTTACACTGAAAACAATTTCATGGCTGGCATAAGGCAAAGGGAAAAATGCATATTTTCATGCTGTTCAATGATTTCTCTGCAATTATTATGTGCCAAAGCACTCTGATTAGCACTCTGCGGGGTTAGAAGAGCTTTACAAAAGGAAAAAGCATACAATCAGAGAGATATTGTTGCCCACAGGAATAAGCTCGCCATACCATATGATTCCTTTCAAACTATTATCATGTTTTCAGACAGCTGTCACAGCGAGTTGACGTGACTCGTGATGGATCATACAGATCAAGCGCACTTCCATTTCTTCTTTCTCAGAGAACTACATTGCAGGCTCAGCTTGCTGCAGTAGCATCATCAAGACAAGCAGATATACTGCGCTGTGTGGTAAACTCTCTGCGCTCATAAACCAGATTAGGTGCTGAAGCTTGGAATTTTGTATTTTGTGACCACCTCCAGAGAGCATCGCTGAATGGACCGAAAGCGAGTGGAGCCGGCTGAGCTGTGGCAACGCTGCCAAGACTGGTGCCAGGAGAATAAATGTTCAGACTATTGGCAGACACTATAGCAACATATATAAAAAAAATGTTTTTTTAAAAATGGGATTTTCTTTCTCTCTTTCTTCTTAATTTTTTGAACAAAGTGGGCCTCACAGGAATACTGTTAAAGATTTGCTACTGTTCATAAAGGAGGTCATCTCGACAACAACGCAGTACATGGTTATTAGAAAGCAGTGCAGGCTCAGATGCTTCATAATCGCTCGCCTGCCAGACAAGCCTGTTCTTTCTTAACAGGATGCAGACTTGTATATTCCCAAACCTGGGATGATATTAAGCTCCTACACTAATATACTTATTTATATGCTAATACACTGTACATGTACTACTTGTTTGATCAGTTGTAGCATCATTTCATCCTCAACTTTGAAAGTGACTTAGCAGACTGTGGCAACGTGCAAACAGTAGTGAAGTACCTCCCTGTGGCTCGTTTATCAAATTATAGCTTAAAAAAAAGATTTTACATATAAGGAGGTGAATTTCCCAGCTTATCATCACCATCATTGCAAAAAGTACCTGAACTGAGCTGTTCTCCAGTTTGACAAATGTTCCAATTAACAACAAGCTTAATGACAGCAACATGTGAAACACTATAACGTTACATCTAGAGATATTAGATCTGACTGAAGAGGAAAATGCTATTAATGTCAGTACCATTCAAATAAACAGAATAAAGAAATATTCTTAAATGGGTCAAAATCACAGCGTCTTTAGAATTAAAATAAAAAAACAAAACGAAGAAAATAACTCCCGCCCAAAGTCATTATCCAGTGTCGATTCAGGATCAGCCAGTTAATGTGAATCGCATGACAATGTCAGACTTTGGTTTAACATAAAATCAACAGTGAAACCAACACTATTATACATGACAGATATCTGACAACAGATTCTAACAATGTGTGTTAGCGAATCACAAGTAACAAGTGGTTCTGGGAGCCACTCTGCAGAACAAACTAAGGTACATAAGAAGGACTGAATCTCTTGGTTTCCTCACCTTGCCCTTCCTCTTCTTGTCCCCTCCAAAGAACTTTCCAATCTGATCCAGGAGGCCGGGGTTCTTCTTCCTCCGACCCAGGCCGAAGGCGGCCTGTGCAGAGCTGCTTGCGGATGCCATGGTTGTATTAGCAGTTGGTATTACGCTTGTGTTTGTCAAATGTGGGGTTCTTGCGTCTCTCTTAAATGAGAGCCGACAGAGGAGGAAAAAGAAAAAAAATAGAGGAAAGGGAGGGGAGGAAAAAAAAAGCTAGCCTAATCTAGGTCCTGTTCTTGGCTCTCCGACCCGCACTCTGAAGCCGCTCCGCTGTGCTCCTGGATGGTCTGCAGCTCGTCCGATTCAGAGGGTCGGTCTTTGAAGGTGTTGTCCTCTCGGCCCGGGGCATCTCGGGAGAAGAGGCGGACCAGGTGGGGGCGTGGTGTGGCAGCGTCAGGGTCAGCTGTGCTGGCGGGGCTCCAACACTGGTGGGGGTCTGTGGAGTCAGTCACCGCTGGCTTCTCCGAGACGCAGCCATTGTTCTGGTTCGCATCTGCCTCACTCAGGCCTGCGCGAGAAACAACAAGGGTCATCTATGGGCTTGGGCCTGCATGGCACACAACAAACCCAGAGTAGCACAATGGCTTCTTTTGATGAGAGCAGGGCCTTCCTGCTGCAGCGAAGACCAACAGAGCTAATACAATTTACATGTTAGCTGCAATGAAACCAACCAGTGAGCTGGAAAAGGTGTGAATGAGACATGAGTAACTGAAAAATGTTCACTAAGTTAACTACTCTCTTCTCAGGGGCTCTTACCACATTGTGGGCTCTACTTGTGTGCTGTAGTAGGTGGGATCACTAGTTTTGACTCAAACACAAGTAATTAGACTCTTGAATTATTATTTTTTTTGCAACCATTCAACTATTTTACTTTACAAGAGCAGTTTTAAAACAATCACTCTGAAACTTGACAATGGCAACGGATTATCTTCCCATCGTGGCACTTTTTCGCTTCAACTCAGGGGCGGCTCTATGGGGGGCAAGGGGGGGAGCAATCCCCCCCTCCCTGCTGTAGAGCCTTGCCCACCCCACACTCTCTGAATCGTCCACTCTGACAGCTATCCGTTAAACTGGCCAGCTCCCACAGCAGAGGACATCCAGTGCATTCCTCCGTCCAAAACAATACGCACACTGTACTGACAGAAATGGTGTAGCACTACACCAGAGAATCTGCATGTTAATGCTGGCTGAAACAGTGGTCTTTTGTCACAGCTGCATAGTTATTACAAATAAACAAAGGGCCCAGTGTCACTAAAATAACTCCTATAAGTATGGATTTTCAGCCCGATGCACGGTGACACTTATCCGATTTACGACCCGAGAGCTACCAGGCTGCTGGCTGTGCGTATAAAGCAAGTTTGGATCTAGTCTATGCAGAAGTTAAGCTTTGATTTACCACAATTTTAGGTGGAATTTCTTCTACAGAAACACATCCCATGAGTCTTCTTTTCTTCTGAAAGATTTACATCTCGTGAATCACTTAAAGATCAATTGAAAGATGGGTCATTCCTTCATCCATTATTCCGCCTATTTTAACAAGCCAATACTTAGACATTTATTGGTGTATCCGTCCCAAATTACAGATCCAGATTAATTTTAATGGTAACAAAGACCAGTGAAAATTTCAGGATTTTATCTTTATTAGTTTTAAAAAAAAAGTATATTCACATTCAAACATCGTCTCAGATCTCAGAAAAAAAGGGAAAGGGGTACATTTTGTTCTTACTTACGGCTTTTAAGACAGACTGACACAATGATGAGAGCCTCTCACCCAGCTTTTTAAAGACAAAACATAAATGCCTATACACACTGCTTTTGATTGTGTCTGTCCAAAAGTTTTTGCAATAAAAGTCTCACATCACCATTGAGAAAGAAAGAAGCTGTTGTTTTTTTTTAAAACACCGCCATTTCTAAGATGACGTTTAAAGTGCCTTATTAAAAAGATCTAATAATGCAGGTATTTTGCTACCATTGCTGCTTTTTCATCATTTATTCAATCCCAATACTTTCAGGTTGCCCAGTTACCTCTAATACCCTTGCAATTTAATGCCAGGAAAGGTGTGAGAACCTCTGAAGAAAGCCATATCCTTTAAAAGGCCATTTTGAGAAAGCAAGGCCCTGTAATCTAATAAAAATCTTTCAGGCATAACATTTGCTTTAAGGCAGGTGAGACATCCAGTTCAAAGACATCTTATAAAGAGTTTATATTAGCTACAGAAATACTTACGAATAAATAAAATGTGCAAAAAAGGTCTAGTCAAATATGATGCAGCTCATATTGAAGCCAAAATTGCCACAACAACCTTTTCACTGTATTACTCTCATTTTTTCCTTAGAAAAAAAAAAAACAGGCTGCTTTAAGTTGTAGTCCTAGCACTGATCCAGTTCTTCACCACCAAATTGGTTTGAGGCCAATAGACACCGTAATCAAGGCCTCGATATTGTGCCGTTACTACAGTTTGTTCACATATGCAGCCAACAGTAAGGCTCAGTGTAACTCTGTGTTTGAGGTGCTGTATTGATCTGTGGCATTTCCAAAGGAAACTCTTATTCATCTCATTTGCTTGAAGCACCAAATACATACTTGCACTATGACAAAAATGGATTTTTAGATTGTTTTTAGATTCTTATCTACAACAAGAATACCATCAGGGATCCATTTGATGGCTTTCAAATTCTGCAGCATTGCAATGACCTGAAAGTTAGAGCCAGACACCTTAAGAAATTTCCTCACAGACATGAGCAATAAGCAACAACAAGCCCCGGGTGCTGCAGTAGTGCTACATGTGATGGATGTAGCCACTTATGCCATACATTGGGTTTTTGACTTAGTTTCACATTTTGTTCTTTTTTTCCCTGTCCATTTTTAAACCTAATGGTAGCGGTGGGAGATATATCGAATATACTCGATGTATTGCAAATTTTTCCACGTGTGATGGTTAAAATGGCTTTATTGTAACCACCGAGCATATATTGCCATGGAAATATTGAGGGATGTCGAACATCCCTCTTGAACAAAATGTTATATATCACACAAAGCAGGTTTTGTGGTATCAGTTATTGCACAGCAAACTGCAGAATTAATAAGACAATTATTTTTTTTGGTTTTTTTTAGTGGTCTGCCCATGAGGCCTTTTAGATTTCCATCATCTGCTGCTTTTTTCCTCAGCACAGTGGTGCTGGCATTACCTAACACAATACAATTCTGCGTACAGTGAAGCAGACTGCCATCTGTGTTGATTTGATCTACCTTAGTCTTCTATTTAAAGAAACAACAGCCGAGGCAAAAAGCCATCCATTGTGATTGTGACCTGCTGTTTTCATTTTGTCTACTGCTTATTTTGCATCCTATTATCATTTGTCTATAAAAAATTAAACTGCTGAACGAGTCTTTCTGAAAGATTACCAGATTGCTTTGGACACACGGTTTTAGCTCAATGAACAAAACATGCTGAGAGTGAAATTAGTTGGACGTTAGATGGAAGATTTTGGTTTAAAATCCCCCAAATTCACATTAAGTTGTCAAATTTAATTGGGAGAAGAAACAGGACACTATTCTGCTGTATAACTACTTGCACAACAGTGGCCCATGGAACTGCAATTAAAGTAATAGAACAAGCTCAGAATCCCAGGTAATGAAGCTGGGAGGACAAGATGTCCTTGTTAGCTAGCTTGTCAAATATCTGTGTTCTCTCACAGATTTTCGGTAACTTTTCTGCGACATGTTCACGGATAATTCCTCGCTGCTGTCAAGAAGTATTACGTTCATCTCGCACAGTACTTCTAAACAAGCTGAACTGCAAGTAAATGCTTTGAAGGCCTCTAGTTTCAGCTGCTAGGTCACTGACGGCTGAGCAACAGCGTGCACTCTTATGTTTTAGCGAATCCCAGGCTCTTCATCTAAATACAGAATGACTTGTTTCTTCCAGGATTCAATCTACCCTTTAATAGCATTTTCCAGGAGTCAGTGACTCAATCAACACCTAAGAAATATCCTTCAAACACCTCGCCAATTTCATTGATTGCAACTGTCTGTGCCGCTCAGTCTGACAACTAGTTTGATTTGAAGTCACTGAAAAGTTGGAGCAACAAAGTGCTTCTTTTCATTTTTGAAGAGAAGAGAATCAAGCAATTCATGTCATAGTTTCTCCCCCATGTAGTCTTTGACTATATTAAAAACTTTTTATCCAGCTGTGTGGCTACACCTGAGATGACACGGCATACATGAGACGCACAAGTTGTAAACAACACTGAGGGCCAATTATCCAGCAGTCTGATGTATAGCAGGGTGGAGAAAAGCAAGCTTGTGCTGAAAGCGTGCTCACTTCACCATGTTGGCTTTTTTTCATAAATACTGGATTTATTCATGGTTTGAAGACGGGAGATAATGAGAACTCCTCAAGCCCTACCATCAATGCTTCTGCCGAGGGCTCCTTAAACCACCGCAGAGGAACCAATGAGTAATGTCAGACTGCTGTGCATGCTCTTTCAAACATATCACTCTAGGTTTCTGCTATTTTTTTGCATGAAGAGATGCTCATCTTATTCAAAATAAACTTATCCTCTTTAGATATGTCATCTTTAATACTTCTCCACACCAGCTTCAAGATATCCCGATGAAAATTTAGGTGACAAAAGTGCCTAGATGGGCGGGTAATGCTGGTGAAGTTACAGGTGTGCCTTTCCACCTTTGAAATCGCTGATTATTGTGACAAGAACAATTACCATCACCACCTCTGCCTCCTGCAGGATCTACATTCAGTAGTGAGGTAAAGACAACTGGCCTGTCTGATCTGTTCAATGAAGAAATTCAGCACCGTGCAAGAGGCGAAATTTCAGCATCTAGAAGGAGGAAGGCATGCAGGGAGTGGGCCTCAATCTCCTCATTTTTCCTCCTCTTCCTCAGTGTGAGGAGGATGTGCAGCCAAGCATCTGGGACAAGAACAAGGACTGTGGTGGGACTGAGGCACGGGAAGCATTCCTCTGAAAAAACATCCATCGCTATGTGGCCCCGGACCAACCCTCCTACCCAGGGGCAAAAATCTATCTGCTGCTGCATTGATGGTGGATCTGAAGCACCCACAAGCTAAGAGCGGGAAAAAAAGACGTCCTCTGTCTCTGTAACCCCCGCTGGCATTCAGGGCGTTAGTCCTCCAGAGATTTCCCTAGCAGAGATAAGCAGTAGAACCATTCCCTGATTATCCAATGCACATTGCTGTTAAGCTCGAGTGATTATAAATCAACATGAGATATAGCCTACCGTCTTTCTGTTTGGTTTTAATCTGAAAAATCCAAAGAGTGAGGACCCACCACAGTTGGATTTTTGTTTGCTATGCATGATGCAAGGCACCATTATACACATAGCAGTGTCACAGCTGCTGCTTTTATTCAAGCAGCTGTAAGGCTGACCTTGAAGTGCTTCAATGCTTTGTCATTATCAACAGCATAGAGGAGATCGGGCTTTCGCAGTAGCAGCACCCAGACTCTGGAATAATCTGCCAGAGGAGA